TAGTAGTTTTGTCTGCACGCCTTTATTTTGGCTGAATTCCTTGTTATTTTAGGAGTGGTCTAGTTCAGGGAGATATTCCAAATCTGGTCTGGTGAAGCAGATCTCCTCTGATACTCACAAGTAGCCGGTTGAGTAGGCAACCGGAAGGACCTCGAAATGTGTCCTCATGGAAGCCCCATACCCTGGCCATACTTCCTGGGAATTCAGAATCTTCAAAACAGTCGGGTTGAGTGTTGTGCTTAATCAGAGGTCTTTAATTGGGTTATTGTTTGTTTGCTAGGTTGGTTGGTTTGTTCTCTGTGTGTATGTGTGCATGTGCTCATGCATACTCCAATGTGTCTTTGTATGCTCACACATGCCAGGATGCACAGGGAGATGTCAGAAGACAGCTTGCAAGAGTCCGTTTTCTCCTTCCACCGTGTGGATCCCACAGATCAAACTCAGGTTGTCAGGCATAACTGCAAGCACCCTTGCCCAATAAGCCATCTTGCTGGCCCAGAGATCCTTAATTTAGACTTGGTCCCTTGGCCACGAAACAGGTTCCCAGAGCCCAAAGTTCCACCCTAGACATGCAGTACACTGTTCTCTGCCTCTTTATTCCTACCCAAGCCAACAGACTTCACTTCCACGTTTAACCAAGGGAAAAGTCAGCCAAGCATTTCCCCAGCCACTTTCTCTTGCAGTTGAAGCCAAAAGCCAAAGCCAGAAGCCAGAAGCTTGCCATTCATTATACCAAGCCCCTCCCCTACGCCCAAGCCAGATTCAGCCCAGCACCTAGGCCCAGCATGCACACACAGGTCAGACTCTCCATTCACCACCCCCGTACCACAAAAGGGAAACCCGGAAACACAAAAGAGCAAGCTTAGAGGAACTAAAGGAAAGAAGTAAAGAGGTAAAAAAAAAGGAGGAAAAAAAATAAAAACAATGATGGTTTCGCACTCATTGTGAAAGAACTCAGCCAGGACATACCTGTTTGAGCAGGGCCTCCCAGCTGTTCTCAGGGACTGCCAATGAGGTGGACAGTCTTCCTTATCCCTGAGGCCTCGGACCAAGTGTTGCTTTGGTTTATTTCAGGAAATGCTATTGGAAAGATAAAACAAAGTGCCTGGCAGGCACTATAAAAAGTAGAAGAAATACGGAAGGCGTCATCCTCCAACGGGTGGCTACATGTTTTTACGCAGGGGCGAAGGGAGGGAGATACGTTGTGTAGTATCGCTCCTCCATCCAGGAGAGCCACCTCAGTGGCTCTGCCAGGGCCGAGCCTGTGCCTTGCTGACATTCCATTCCTGTGTTCAGATGGACGCTCATCTTTGCCAAGACGAAGGTGAAGGAAACCCAGCAACCAGGAAAAGAAGAGAGGAGCCAAGGGAAGCGGCCACTGCTGGTCAGGGCCAGAGCTGGAGGGAGGCCAAATGGAAGTGGCCCCAGGCTTCTCTGGGATGGCTGCCATTTTCTCCCAAGCAGAGAGAAAGATGCAAAGGTCATGGAGGGGTCTGCTCTGTGGAGCCACCAACTCCTATTGAGGAAATTCTCCACACACACACACACACACCCTGTGGCTTGCCTCTAAACAGGATATTACTTCCATTTCCTTAATTCATCCTCTCTCTCTCTCTCTCTCTCTCTCTCTCTCCTCTCTCTCTCTCTCCTCTCTCTCTCTCTCTCCCCTCATCTGAATGTAATAATAGCTAGCATATATAAATAATAATTATTAATGTTATCTGTTCTTTGTTTCCAAACCTCATGTTCCTCTTCTCTTGAAAACTGGGGAAATCAACTCTGCTCACATCGAAAAAGATGCCCTCCCCCAGCAGAAAGAAAATCCACCTAACTTCCTATTTCTAGGGAAAATAAATAGGCCACCATGGTGCCATCTCTCCCCGGAGGACTCTTATTCTGCTCTTTTGTTGATTTGTTTTCAGTAGTTTGTGCTTCTGTTGTACCCAGAATAGAAGGCTGCTAGGAGGGGAAGGGACCCGTGGAAGGTAGGAGAAAAAAGCAAGAATAACGGGAAAAGCCCAAGTCGTCTTTCATTTAAAAATATATATCAGAACTAGAACAGTGACCAGAGTCAGAGGGGGTGGCTAATTGGCCAGACAGTCTGTCCCATGGGCTCAGCAGCTGCCCTTTTTATCTGCTGTGGGTGAACCCCGGCCACTGCGGCGTCCTCGACAGGAGCGAGGCTCTTCCAAATCGTCCTCATCAAAGCCGTAGAAAGTTGAGGTGTCACTTTCTGACGTGGAACCGAATAAGTCCTCCGTGGTACGTGCTGCGGCCGCTGCCTCCTTCTCCTTCCTGCCTTCTCCTCCCAAATGAGCTGACATGTATGATGAATATATCAGCACATGGGTTAAGCAACAGACAGCATTATTAATATTCTTATTACATAATTACAGTGTTATTCCTAACAGCAAGGTAATAAGCCACTGTTACACCAAAAGGGACTAACAGGGTATATCACCTGGTAACTGGGATTTGGGACAAAGCACACATTTCCAGGAAGATGTCACTTCCCAGAAGAGGTCCCATCCCTACCATGATACATGTGTCCACAGCTTCTGACAGCAAGAGATACACGCACGATATCTCCTTTGGTTCGCTCGCACAGAGGCACACGCTCACCCAACCCTGCCCCCACACAATGCTTTCGCTTGGTGGTTTTAAAGCCTTGTTGGTATTTCTTTGTAGTTTCAGTTGACGTTTCTTTGAACAATGTTCGTCCGTCACTTTGACAGTCAGCTTTACCAAGGTATTACTGCCAGATAACCCATTCAAGGTGGTTAAGCCTCCGTCCGTCTTATTTTTATTTTTCCCCGCCTCTAATCCCCTGCTTTGACAGCTCTTTCAGTCCCACCCTCATGCCGTGTAGTTCATTTGTACTGAAAGCAAAGAACAGTGGAGAATCTAAGTGTTAGTTCAGGAGAGCCTCCCACTTTACCGCTGCTTGTAATCTCAGACACTGGAGCCGCTAAGCATACCAAGGTCTCAGCTACTCCAGAACGTTCACCCTGTCAGCTCAAACTCAAGACATACCCAAAGGTGAAACGGGCCTTTAAAAAGCCTCGTGAATAGAGTATCCTAAGACCTGTAAAACTCAGGCTTCAATTGTTTCATACTCTATTGGCACCCAATACCACAGTGACTGTCCCTTCCATGCCAGGGTTGGACAAGGCACTTCCTTCTGGGAAACAGAGGCAGTGGGTAGATGAGCAGGGAATAGCCGCTATTCCAACTCATAGTCTTCTCTGGAAGGACCCTGGGGAGGCCCCCGAGATATAGTCACCCATCTGACTTAGCAGCCCAACTCGGGGGTTAATGCCAACCTGTATATTAACTATTTCAGGAACATTAGAGTCAGGTGTTAATAAAGGACCCACCAAGTTAGTTCCCAGCAATTACAGTGAGAATACCTAATGGTGCTGTAACTTGACACATGAAGTACATGTCAGACAGAACCAAGGCAAGAAACGCTGAGCGAAAGAGAAGCTTCATGCAGAAAAAAAAAAAAAAAATCCTGCTTCTGATGCCCACGGACCGGTTGAAGTACCTCATCTTGGTGTTGGAGGAAAGGGTGCAATGACAGCAGGTTTACAGTGGGAACTCTAGCACTGCCTGCTCTAACCCACCAAAGCCTGCGGTAATCCACAGGACCCTGCCCAGCACACCACTCTACCAAGTGGCCTTGCTTCTGAGAGAAGAGACGTTGTCTGAGTGCCTGATCTTAAAACAAATAAAAAGCACTGGGTTGAAGTTCATTTGTTTAATTGTCTTTTTTAAAAACAGCTAAAAACCAGCGCCATCTACCATAAGGGTCGTGTCTTCTAAGTAAAAAGTTCAGTGTTACATGTCACGTTTGGACCATGAGTGAATCGACAGAGTGGCATGAAAGGAGCTCTCTGGTAGGGTCCTTGAGAATTAAATGTAAAGGGTCTTATGCAATGGACACTAAGTTGTGTTTCCAATTATTGGTTTATCGCTCAAGGCTGTCTAGAGCCCTAAACAACCTTAGCTTCCAAACACATAGCGCTAAAGGTAAGGTTTAGGACCCGGGAGGGAGAACCGAATCATTGCAGAAGACCAAGACAAGGTCACCTCAGTCCTTCTCCTGGGACTGGGGCTGAAACAATGCTGGGTTCAAAAGATGAAATGACCTCTCATGCTAGACCCAACCACCCAACCAAGGTCTCGCCTGTAGCGAGCCACTGGTGAAACTGAAGATAGCATCTGAGATCATCTCTCCTCCCTACCTTGTGCCTTGGGTTACTTATTAAATAGAAAAATTATGGGGGAAGGTGGCACCAACCAACCATGATCAGGCAAAAACAATAATCTATCTACAATTGAAAACCAATCCATAGCCAAGACTCTATCGAACTCATTTTAAGAATGAAGGAACAAGACCAAAAGCCTCTTTTTAATACTTTAGTCTTTGGATACATTGAAGATGAAAGGAGTATGCAGGTTGGTCTCAAGGATGCTTTTGCCCTCATGTGTAGGGAGCTCTGTCCTGTTTCCATGGAAATATGGGATGAGTGGTCAATGGTGCTGGTAGGTTTATGCTTCCATAAAGGGGCCCAGGAATCTGCAAGCCCCACAGATCAGGATGTGGCTGCTTCCCTCATACTTGTGTTTCCACAGAACACACAATTTTTGTTACATGTTCGTCTTCCAGCACAGGCTAGCATGTTGCCTGGGGTCTCCAGGTATCTCTGCTCTACTGTATTTTGGACCACAACTACACATACAAAGTAATGTCCACCTCATGGATAGGCCAGACCTTCTCCTTGTCCTTTCCCCTGGGACCCAGAGAATGGGTTTCTGTCCTTTAAGACCCAAAGAGGAAAGACATGAACATGACCTGCAAACCCCTTTCCCCTCAAAGTCACCACCGCCACCATCACTTCTCCACTCTCCTCTCCCTCCCCAGCCACGGGGAGATGGCAGAGCAATCCAGATAGAGGAGGTCTATGGCACACAGTGCAGGAAGGGGTCACACTCACCAGAGCGTCCACAGTCTGCACAGGACACCAGCTCTTCAGGCCTCCCGCTCTTCTTGTTCATGTTAGAGCCCCCCAAGCAGAAGTCACAGTAGTTGTTGGGAATGACGGTCCCGTCTGGTCCTTTCTGGGCTGTGGAAACATTGAGAAAGAATTCCAGTTTTAGACTTAGATGCTGCCCCTTCTACTGGAGTGTAGCAGAGAACAGAAAGCTTAGAATGGAAGAGTTTGTTATAGCTGCTTTTTTTTTTTATTCTTATGGGTCCAATGATACCCATCTTGCAAATCATTCAAAATCTCATCTTTGCAAGTTTTCCCAGTTCAATGTTTTTTTATAGAAACCTCATTGCCCCCTCTGATTCCGTCCCTAAATTAATAAACTACTCAGAAATGGCATGTGTCATTCGTCAAGTCAACCTCTGTTAATCCTGCACAGACTCCAAAACATCAGATGGAAATTGTAAACAGTGATGACTGGAGGAAGAGGACAGCCAATGCTTTGGCCTAGCCTTTGAGAGAGAGACACTTATTCAGTATCTGTGGCTAGTCACTTCCAGACAGCGTGCTGGAGAGGCTCTTGAGAACTCTTGATAAACATCTTGGAGTGCACACAAATGTCTGTTCTTAGCCTCAACTCTCAGGTTTTAGACTCATTGATCATGGAAAGCAAGTAGGCTAAGTCCATCTGAAGAACCCCAATACCTGGAATTAGAAGTGGACACAAGTTGACTGGACACTTAGCTCAGTCTCATGTCAGAGATGGACAGAATGATGGGGGAGTGAGCATATGTGTAGGCCTAAGATCTTCACAAGTAACTGAACACCATAACTCCATAACCTATCCCTGCTGAATGTCAAAACAAACGTATTCTTCAGGTGTGACCTCGAAAACAGAGCCCGGTGACAGTACCCATGCCTTTGAGGCCCCAAGTCATTCCCAGTTACTAGGGGCTGGTTGAAAAGCCTAGAACAGGTTCCTTGCATGGGAGAATGCTTCCATTTTCTTATTTCTCTCATCCTGTTGTAGACATTTCTTAGTGATAGTCACACTCCCTCATTGCCACTAAAAAGAAGAGTCTCTCTGTTTGTGGAATCAGCCTTAACCACTAGGGTATCTTCCTCCTTAACATCCTCCATGTCTGCGGCTATCTTTCATTATTCACTGGCTAACACTAATCAGGGTCCCATAGGGTATAAATCTGTGAAGAGGAAGCAGATATGTGAGCAGAAATACCAGCCAGACAGTAAGTGATAAACGGATTCACCCCCTTTAATATGATTCCCTCTGGCCTTTGCTTCCTCCATGCCTCGCTTTGCCTCCAGGAATAGAAAACTTACCTGGGGAAGGCGGAAGACAAAAGCTAGCAGAATTACATTACAGAGGGTTAATCCATTTATCAGTTGCTATTTGAATTGTTTAATCAGTTTCTAAGTCATTGATTTCCATCTTCAAGCAGGCAGACAATCCTCTGCAAGAAAAGTGTGGGCTCTTTGGGAGAAGCAGAGGAATGGGCCACCCTCTGTGGTCTTCTGAGGTTGGGCTCTCCTTCCGTAGCCACTGGATCTCAAAGACATCTGCAGAGCAAGCAGGGTGGCTCTCCAAATACTCTCCCAAGGCCTGTGCATCTGCCAAAATTTTACTCTGTCTATTAAATGTGCTTTGCCCAAGGAGAAACACCAGTCTCCGCCCTTTCCGCCTTTTTCAATTGCCCTCTTCCTCATTTTCAGTACTTTCTGGAGAAAATCTAAGCATGTTTAAGAAGCAAGTAAACATAAGGTTTCCTACTCAAAAGATACACTGAAGTCTATTAAGTGGTAAATATAAACTAGAGGTGGGAAAATATTCAATTTAGAAGCAAAGTTTCATGATTGGGTGAACTAGATATAAAGTGTGCAATGATAACCACATCTGAGTAACTTCCCACATACAGAAAGAGATATATCCCATATACGCCACGCCAAGAAGGTCTCAGGGTCCCAGTCTGACTTTCTTCTATGCACACACAGACTTCCTGCAATGTCAGGTGTCTTCCCTATTCTCAAAATACTTCTGCCACCAAAAAAAATCTGAATGTCTTCAATTGACTGCATCCCCTGATGATATATAAAGACAAAGAGGGAAAATATAGAGAATAATAACTTCCAGACTGTCCTTTACATTATTCACAAAATAGATAGAATAACTTCCAGGCTATTCTTTACATTATTCACTAAATAGGTACAATCAAGAGCTCCAAGTCAGACCTGATGGTTCAGGCCTGTATTCCCAGTTACTCAGGAGGCTGGGGCTAGAGAATCAGAAGTTCAAGGCTTGCCAAGGGGTGTTAAAGGCCAACCTGGGCAACTCCTGGAACCCTGTCTCAAATTTTAAAATAAAATAGTCAGAAGAGGGCTGGTTATATAGCTCATTGGTAGAGTGCTTGTCTGGAATGCATGGGATCCTAGTTTTAAAGAAGTTTCTGATGTCAGGGTGTCAGAGCAGTGCCCCTACATATACAGGAAGACAAAAATGTCTGTATAAGGGAGTGAGGAAGGTAGACTCGGGTAGGTACAATTGTGATAAGGGAGGTGAGGGGTATGTTGTTGTTTAGCAATGGTCCAGTTTATAAAGTGACAGTGAGGAAGAGGGGTATAGCTCCCTGGTAGAATGCCATGAGTGGGGAGAAAGGAGCAAGGGGACAGTAATAGCCATGCTTTAACTTCAGTTGAGGCTCTACTCTCTTCTTGGAGTGACGGGATCAAAGCCTCCTTCCATCTCAATACAATGACAAGGGATGGGCTAAGAGCATGTGCATTGGTTCTCTTACGCTTTTGGATATTCAAGATTGGTTGGAGAGCACAGGCACTTCCACGAACCCTCCCTATTCCCAGGCAGCAATGACTATGCCTTGGGGAGGGCACTAGGTTGGTATCACTGTTACATCTCTTGATAAATATGCACACCTGCCTCATACATTCCTTTAGATAGGTTTACCACTGGACCACCTGCATGACTTACATACCGGAAATGGTTACCAACAATTTGTGGGATGAATGGCTTAGAAAAGGTGACAAAGATGTAAACAGGTATCCCACGATGCACCTGGGACCTTCTTCAAGAATCCAGAGCATGGTATCGGCTTTCCCTCTGGCAAAGCAATCTTTTCTCGCTCTTGGTTTTTTTTTTTTTTTTCTTGACTCTTCAAAGAGATGGTCCATGTTCAAACAGATGGACTCACAACCACTCCCAAGTATGCAAGAGTAGGTAGCTGAAGGTCCCGAATCGCTAGCAGAATACTACTGTATGCAACTGTTATGGTTTAAAACTCTATGTATTGAAAGGCTTGGTTTTCAAGGCAGCAGTATTCCAAGGTAGAACTTTAAGGGGAGTGATTGTACTATACAGGTTCTGATCTAATCAGTGATCTAATCCAAATGATAGGTTCAAAATCCAAGCAGATAATTGGGAGACAGTGGAACTGTAGAAGGTGGAGGAGCCTTGGTGAAGAAAGTGGGTCACTGGGGGCATGTCTCTGGAGGCATGCCATGGCCCTGGTCCCCTCCTGTTAGGCTACTCTGATTCCCGGCCATCTGAAATGGGCAGCTCTGCCCTGCCATGCCTACCACTATACCTTGCCTGCCATGATGCTCTGCCTCATCATAACCCCGAAAATCCAGAACTGGGCAGGTGTGGATTGAAACCTCTGAAACTTGGAACCAAAATACATCTTTTCTCCTTTGAATTGTTTCTCTGGGGCATTTATCAGAGCGACGAAAGTCTGGCTAACACAACCACTCCAAAAAGCACAAAACCATAATTCATTACCTCTTGAGAAGTGATACTAGGTCCTGTCTACCCACTTAGCTTCTCTGTGGCTCCATGGCTTGCTGAGAAGGATGAGGATCAGGTATCTACTACACAGCTATGGTGGGACTTCTGCTAAGAGGCCAGACACATTATTGCCTTGGTTCCTTCAGAACCTGTGTGAAGAAGGAGTTGTTTGAAGGGTGAGGCAACCAAAATCCAAAAAGATTACAATATTGGCTCCAGATCTCAGTTGCAAAAAAGGAGATGGGCTTCTTCCCCAGTTGTCTATATCCCCAGAAATTCATACTTCCCAGCCTCCTAGGAGGTCCGGAAGCAAATGCTTTCTGTCCATACCTTGTATAGCAAGCATTTAATAAATCTCTTTTGAGTCTATTTGATTCACCCAATATATTAATTATAAAGCTTGAGGCAATAAAAAATTATTTTGATTGACCTGATAAAAGCAGAGATTCCTTTTGAACTTCAATTTAATGTCTCTGCCACAGTAATCCATCCAGGGTGAACTCTGTGAAAACACTTCTCCAGCGAACTCCAGAGGCTCTTAAAGAGTGTTAAGTCACAGCTCACACTGTGGCTACATTGGCCTATGGTCTGACCTGCCACAAGAAATTTCCAGGCATCGTACATGAGATCATCATAAAAAGGATTTTACTATAAATAGGGGGCTGGCCCAGACTTTGTACATGGGATTTAAATGGAGGCTCTGCTTCTGTCTATGGGAAATTGAGTCTCACTTTGTAGAATAAGACAATGCCGAGGACAAAACCCCCCATGGTGTCTTGATGGCAGTGTCCACAATGATGGCTTTGCTTCACTGTTGACTGATATCCATGACTGAGATCATAGAAGGGGTGCAAGCAAACTGCCAGGAAAAGAAAGCAAGCCTTGAGAGTTTGCGCATTTACCTGGGGGAGGCGACTCAAGAAAACCTCAACGGAAAAACAAATAGAGGTCAGGAGCAAAGTTCATGAAGAAATGCAGGGGGAAGTAACAGAAGTAAGGGGGGGTATTCAGATAACTCAAATCAGCAAAAGGAAAAGAAACAGGTGTCTATCCTACATGTCCAACACGTGCTGTTTCACTGGTTCAAAGAGTCTAGCTACCATGCTCAGAGGAGTGAGAGCAGGCAGGCAGGCTAGGGACATGTGTATGCTAAGGGACTTAGTGATTAAATTATGTCTTATAGCTATGGAAAATAAAGCCCCAAATCCATGACAGGGCTGTCTTTCCCTCATGTTAATGCCATCCCTGCTGCAATGTACCTGTCTTTCACGGACAGAAGGACTGGTGGGACAGTCTAGTCACCATTGGTAACCCCTCTCCT